AAATTCACCGATTACGATCTGTTAAAGTGCTTGCATTTCGAATCATTTGCTATCATCTAAGAATCATGAAAATGCAAATTTAGTGGAGTGTGAAAATATTTTGAAATAAAAAACCCTCAAGTATATGAAATGGTATACTGGCTTGGATTCAATTTATTTCAATTTCCATTAGTTACCGAAAGTTACTTAATCTTGCTAATATCATCATTACCGTTAGCAACGTCGCTATTGGTAATATTAAGTAATTTTGATTTAATAGAAGGACTTAACTCGTGATATTAAGCGAAATAAAGCGGAATTATCGTAAAATTTTTCCATTACAATTTCAATTGACTTAAAGCTTTAATTTCGAATGAATTTATTTTGTATTTTTTACACTTATTCACAGTTAAACTTTAAAACGTTTACTGCGAATTGCTTGTGGACTTTTTTTTTCACAAAGTTATAACTGCATTTAGTAGATAATTTGTGTTAATTGCAAAGTTAACACTTAAGCTACTTATGGGTAAACGCGTACTCTCCTCTTCCATTAAGAACATGTTTTTTATTTATTTTTGTTAATTTTGTGAAATTTTGACTTAAGAAATTACGTTCGTTTTAAACAAAAACTCCATCTTTCCATTCCATGAGACTAGGAGACATTAGTCTACTTTAGTTTTACTTTTTTAAAAATATTTCAGTTCTTCTACATATTACTATTGTTAGTATTTGTAATGTAGCCAGAGAAATAAACAAGAATTAAACTCTTAAAGCAATTGCAGCATCCAAGGCTTATCGGTTCTATTGAGAATTCTACCATACAAGAGAGATTTGAATACCCACGACCACCACTAAGTTGTTAGTCGGGATCCTTTGCCTGCTCGGCCACGCAGACGGATAAGTTGTTCTATATAAAAAAACACGTGAAGTAAGAATTTTCTTTTTCTTCTTTTCTATACTCTTAGTTTCTAATTTCTAAGGAAAATAGAAACTTGAAGCGACATCTTTTTAAACAGGGATGAATTTCTATGTAGCTACACATGTCTTTCGCAACAGCGACAATATCGCATCAAAAGTTATTTAAAGCGCCCATATCCTGGATCGGCGTGAGTTTCCAAATCGGTTTGGCGAAGTCCCATAACTCATTCCCCTGCGGACATATCTCCCGCTGTTCATAAGGAAATATAAAGTTATTTCAAATTAATGACGTCACCTTAAGTCTGGGAAAGGACGCGAAATTGTCATGAGCTGTGAAGCTCTATTGTCTTTTACGCAAATTTCATGTGATTTCGATCGTAAATTTCCGACTTACAGGGGCTTTAATGACGTTATCTTTTAAGACAATGGGAAGATTCTAATTTCATGCGTCTCTTTGCGGGACATCACCTGTGATACAATGGTGATGTATGCACATAGAATTTACAACCACTTTCTTAATCGATCTAAGCTTGACTGTTCCTTTATTCGTCTGTATGACTGGCCAAAAGACGAATGCTATTGAAAATGGTTCGGATCGGATCACTATTTGCACCACTCCCCACATAAAATCTCAGTTTGTAAACTATATTAAACGAAACAGCATAGCTTGCCCCACTCCACTATAGAGTTTTCACTTGTTTAAAACAAACAATTTATAGGCTATTGGCATGTAAATATAACGATTTTATGATGGGAAAATTAAAGTATTGTCTTCAAACGTCGTATAGCAGCCCTTCTTCATCGAAAACGAAAATTTATCGTGGATTTGCTCTGTTTAAATGAGACAGTGCGGGCATTGATGCTGCTGAGCACAGTCGACGCCTAAACGAATTGCTTACGTGAGCGAACCTAGATGTGTCTGAGAAATTATTTTTATTATTGTTGCATGCCTTCACATAACCAAGTAGTTATCAAGTTGGCTTACCCAAGTTTAATCTTCGGGGCGGCAGTCCACCGTCCGGTCGGTAAAGACACAAGGCGCTTATTGATCGGGCATTCTTCCCTCATCTCTCTTCTCTTACTCGTCTCTTACTGACCATTACCGCGTTAGAAATATAAGGAACATTGCTTGAGCAGGTATCCATGTATAAAAAGAAAAAATGCTCTCTCTTCCCTATCGGTGAAGTGATCGCTTAAACTCTACTAAGGGTTGCACGGTGGAACAAAGGAGTTCCAATCACAATTCAACCGATACAATGGCAACATTGTAAACTTTGAATTGCAGCCTTATCTTCCTCCCATTTCTTTGCGAATGTCAAAAACAAGTCCGTGGGGAAAAGATTTGGATTCGGATTCGCATTCGGATTCGGATTCAATGGTGATGTTTTTGCGAAAATTAAATCCCATTTCGACGGTCTTTATGAATATGTTCCAGAAAAAAGTTGAATGCTGAACAAAAGAATAAAAATTCCTTTTCTCTTTTTTGGTTCCACAAATTTATTGACCGTGCATTGTTTGCTTAAGCACATCAGGGACGTCTCTTAAGAAGATAACCTTAGAACAGATGTTCGTAGTATTAGTTTTATCTCTTTAGAGGTCGCTATGTAATGAGATTTCAATGCTAAAAAAATTCTTCGAAAAGCAAATTTCCATACTAATCTTCGAATGACTTCAACATGGTCTTATGACTCGTTTAGAAATGATGACATGAATGTTTGATGCTGAAAGAAAGGCCGTTTAAATTCGGAAAACTCTATGGGCTTTAGTGAGATGTAACTAAATGAATATTGAATGAAAGAATCTTCCGTTTTCCAATACGATTTGAATTTAACGAAAACATCCTAAGGTATTTTCATATAATTTTTTGAAAAAAAATTTTCTTTTTTTTTCAATTTAAGTTTATTTAAAAAAAAAAGCATATTCTATTAAAATTGAAGTTTCAAAAAGCAAAAAATGTACTTATTGATCTTCATGTGTGCATCTGCTTAAAGAAAATAAAATATAATAATAATAATAATAAAACACAAAACGAAAAAACACAACATTATGTATGTCACATATCGTTCCAATTACCTGCTGGTCTACATTATTCAATTGCATGTGTATGTGATAATATTTTTATTTTTCTCCTGTTTTTGTTTTATTATGGATTTTGTTTTCTCTTTCCTACTTTAACACGTCATTATAACAATATTGTGTTTGCTGTGTTGTTTGTTTTTATTTAAAAGAATGAGGAAACATGATTTTTTCTTTTTATTCCCATTGTCACTTTCAATAGAAAATGAAAATTGTAGGTACATCTGACTGACTGATGGATGGATGAATGGATGGATGGATGGATTGTTGGTTGGTTGGTTGGTTGGTTCGTTCGTTGGCTGTTTGGTTGGTTGGTTGGCTGGCTGGCTGGCTGGTTAGTTAGATTTCTGAATGTATGCGAATGATGATGACTTTGTTTTATTTTGTTGTTGTTAAATGAACATTATTTTTCCTTAGTCTTAAAATATGTCGACTCTTGGTAGACATCATCACCATCTACTACTATTACTTCTGTAAGCACATAGTTCGTACCTCATTGTGTATTTGTTCATAAGCTTGGGTATGTGAAAGATTGAGTGAATAAATGCATCAAAGAAATAAATCAAGTTTGCCACTTCATCACGCCTGCAGCCACGCACTTGGAAGAAGAAGAGTTTTTTTTCTTTCTCCTTTAAATGAAATTAAAACTAAGTTTTATTTTGTATTACATTAACTATAACTAGAACTCATACACGGTAGTTAAAATTTGGAGATATCTGATAAATGTTTAACAAATTATCGCAAATATCTGAAGACTTTTTTGTTTCAAGAATTTTCAGATTCCGGAAGTTTAAGCAACTTTTTGTAATATATTAATTAAAGAACTCATTGCAGATCGGCCTCATTTGCTCAGAAGTTCGATCGATTTGGTTAAACTTTTGGTTAATCTTTTTCAGCTATTGTTATTAGATCAGAGAAGTTCATAACAAACTTTATCTAAATAATAAATTGTTGCTGGAATAGTTTTTTTTTTTATATCCATCACCGAAAGATGAAGGGTATATTCAGTTTGTTACATCCTTTGAAACGCCTAGAAGGAAGCGTCAGAGACCCCCACAAAACGTATATATTCTTGATCAGCATCAAATTCTAAATCGATTTAAACATGTCCGTCTGTCCGTCTGTTCAATATCTGTTGCAAACATTCTCCTGGCCGTAAAAATGAAAAGATCGAGTTCCAATTTTGCAGCAGCTCTGAAGAAGTTTGAAATTCTTGCGCGTAGAACGGTATCGAAAATGGCCCAAATCGGTCCGAGGGCACTCCCATAGCTTCACGTGACAACTTTGCTTTTCGGAAGGAATAATACATTAGTTTTTTGTTCTTATTCATACTCAGCAGATAAATACAAAAAAAAGTTGAAGGCACATCTAATGGCGATGCAGTAGCGCCTGCACAAAAATCAAAAAAATTAGCCAAGCCTACCCAATATTATAGTCTATCAAAATGTACTTATCTTTTAAATGCCTTTATAAGGCTCAGGGTTAAACTTGCAAATCTCCGGTTACTTTAAACTTTCTTTTACTATGGGTTTCTCTTATGCTGACTTGAATTCCTTCGCTCGGTAATTCTTTCGAAATCTGGCGGCTTACAGTTTCTAGCGAATCGCTAATTTTTGCGAGACAATCAAAGCTATTCATCAAGTCTCCCGATCCTCGACTTTTAATATGGAACTTAGCAGGGAAATGGAAAGAATCGAAGCTTCTCTCGTTGTGCTTAGGTTTCATTAGCGATTCAGGAGCGACATAAAGTAGGAACAGAAACTAAAAGATCACTGCCCTTAATATGTCATACTAATAAAAGTAGTTATGACCGTTATAATCATGATCGTCGCAATCATTCAAATCGAGTAAATAATCTCTACCTTAATGATATATCTAACGATTACAATCAAACCAATAAGCAGCAAATTTCTCTAATTTTTCGTTTATAAATTATACTCTTTTCACTCTTTTTTTCCTTTAAATTAAATTTAATCAGTTCATATATATATATACATATTTATATTTTGTTTTTTTATTATTTTCAGCAGCTAATGATATCTGTTTTACTCAGCAAAACTGGTGAGTATTTAACTTTTTCCTTTTTTTTTTTTTAGACAATTTAATCAGCTTTAAAAGAAAAGAGGTTCTTTACGGTTTACAATTTACATTTTAATAGACGCTCGTTTAAAAACATTTGTTCACTTGGCCGCTTCTTGTTTTGCTTTCTTAATCTAATTTTTTATTTTTTAGAGTTGAAAAGAAATCAAAAACCAAAAAAAAAAAAAAAAAAAAAAAGGGAAAATTAATAACGTATTTACAAACAAATTAAATGGCAAATGGTGTGAATCGACTGTATGACACTTTAACACCTACGCACATAAACTCACTCACAAACATTAAGCAACGAAGCATTGCTGTTGAATTATGCATTTGAGGTTATAGATTATTAACCTTATTTGTGTGTGAATGTGTATGTATGTATGTGTGTGTGTGTGTGTGTGTGTGTCTTTGGACGTGTTTACGTGTGGGTTTCTCTGCGCGCTGACATCTGTTATACGGTCTCAGTTCAGTGAATGGGTGAAAACAAAACTTGTTGATGGCTGTGTCACATTAAAATCAAATTAAAAGAAATTTTATCATTTATGATAATTGTTACTGTTGTGCTGTGTGGCAGCGGGGTTGGGAGGGAAGGGGTTAAACAGATGCCTGGCCTGTGTGTTTCAATGTTTGCGGCAAGTAGCTTTATTTGAATTTTTCAACTGAACACTTTTGCATTAAGGAGAATGCGAAAATTGAGGAATTCATTGTTAATCATTTCACTGAGTTTACATCCATTTGCATGCATTACTCCTCAGAAGAAATTAATGCATTATTTAAAAGCTGCTCACAACAATTATTATATAGCAAATATAGCCGATGTTCGATCAGCTACGGCAATTATTTTGTCATTGGTTTCGTAAGGCATTTATTTTCGTTATTTCCCATAGAATAGCTCAAGTTAATCTTGATTGCCTTGGATTTTTTTGAAGGAATACTTTCATGTTCACCATCAAGAGATTGGAAATTGTTTCCTGATAAGTAGAAAAAAAAAAACGAAAATGGCCCGCTATATGCGCCGAAACATACTTTTTTGAGTTTTAAAATCTCGTCGAAAATAGCGTAAACCCCTTATTTGGTTTAGATGCTCGGCTGCCTCTTTCTCTTGCACCTCTTTTCTATGGAACTCATCTTAGACCTTTGGGAAAATCAACTTCTAAGTTAATCACTGACAGCAGGCTCCACAGACAGCTGTTAAGTAATGCTTCACAATATGAAATATTAAAGATTTTTAAGTTTTCGATTTCCTGTCGTGCAGCGTACACTATTTACATATATAACAATTAATAAAGATTCATTGAGCGTCGAGCGAATTTATGCAATTACTGGCATAAACATGCCTCTGACATTCGTCTGACTACATAATGGCTGACCATGTATTGTCGTGTTTAATCAGCAGGTCGGAATTTTGAGATATGACAGGTGCGGGTCATAACCCGAAGGCTGCTAACAGTGGATTGAATGGAATTATTTTGCTTTATGAGGAAAATTGGTCCAAAATATCAATTTCCTATATTAGACTTATACAGCATAAGCTTTATCGGACCTCTTTCTATCCCAAGGGTGGATACTGGTGAAAAAGGTTGAAAAAGTCAGCTTTGCCGATTTTAACTTCCTTAAGCTAAAATTTCAAAATGATTCAAATATGGTCTTTAGTTCTTTTTCTGTTCTTGGTGTTCCTAAGTCTCAAAAATTTTAGGATAGAAAGGTAAAACTAGCCATGTATATTGCTAAGTAAGGGTTCTCGCTTGCAGAAAGTGTTTGAGGTCCGCTTCACAATGAAGATAAGTTTCGTACTTGTTTTTACGCCGAGTTAGAATGTAAGATGTACGGTAGATGTGAGCTCGAATCTTATCTGGGATTCACAGGTCAATTATTTAGAGACTGGGTCCGACTTTATATTTAGATCCATTCGATCTTCATCAAAACTCTGCAGCGACCTTTCAGGTTTTCTTAGTAGAATATTAAATCCCTTATTAAAAAACTTATTTTCTTCGAATTTTTAAATAAATTTGAAAAGATATGAAAGGTATGAAAACAGTTTTAAGTTTTCGACAGTTGAAGCTGTAGCAGGGTCTCGTTTTTAATTAGTTGAATAATAATAATTATTTTTTTCTGTTCTCATTTGGAAATCTTGAACAATTGAGTTGACAATTATTATTAATACAGCGATCTACGATCTTTTGGGGGTTGCTCGAAGGATCGTGGACATAGTGACGAAATTAGGTTTTTCTAATAGATTTAGAACTTTTCACGATACATTAACTCGATTTGTAGATTGCATTCTTTCACTGTTGCTGACTGTAATCGTGCATGGCAGTTGGGAGCAATAGCTTAGTTTTTTCGGTTTTGCGATCATAATTGAACGCTTAGTTTGTTTTATATGCGTATCCTTTCTAATATTTTTGAATTTTAAGCCTTATTTTATGTGCTTGCTACTTACTTCGCGATAAACTGTAACTTAGCTTTCACTTCGGTAATCATTTTTTGTTTTTTTTGATACTCTTAGTTGCGTGTATATTTTTGTACGGAGAATATGTGCAGAATATGTTACACACAGAAGGACTTTTAAAAAACCTTTTTTTTTCTATACCGTCCGATTTAGAATGTTTGTGCGTCTGTCTCCTTGTCCATGTAAATTTGTGTTCAAGCTGCAAACCACAGCTTTTAAGATATTTAAATTTGAAGAAATTTGGCACACCCACGTGTTTAGACGCAAGAACGAAGACTTTAGAAAATGGTTTGGATCGGTCTACTTTGTCGAACAATCTCCATGTAAGGACCTAATTTGAAAAATGCTTATATGCACATATATAAAATTGTAAATTTTACAATTTTTCGACGAAAGTGTGTAAATAATAGTGTTTAGGCATTGCAAGTGGGTGCGCAAACTTCAGACTGTCTGGGGCAATTTTTTGAACCCCCTCTCACATAACGGAACGTAATTTAAGATAAAAAAATTAACTGTTTCAAGTTTGGTCCATCTCGTCCTGTTTCTTGGATCCTACCTTATGCATGGATTTTCACGAAAATTGATTCCCAGAAAAATGTACATTTTTAATTTTAATATATTATGACGAAAATATAAAAATATTTAAATTAACTCTACAAGATTTGCATTGCCAACGCGAAACTTTCTGTCCTAATCCTTAGAAGGAGTTTTAAGAAAAAAGTTCCCTTTTTGGGACTGAAAGGTCCAAGCTTTAAAAATTTATTCCAATTGCATAACACTAAGTTCGTATGAAAACAAGGTATGACTTTTTGGTTCTATGGTGAAAATAAGAACTGTGCCAGAGTATGTAGCATAGGATGTATAGGTCTAGTCCGCCCATAATGTTTTTACTTGGTTTTTCCTTTTATTCTGCTTTAACATTCTAGATCACACGACTAATTTGTTGCTATAGTTATAGAAACTTTATACTACGTACTATAGTTGAACACAATTACTCCCAGCGGCTTTTGTGACAATGATTTTAAAGAACATGCTTTTCCTTAAAAAATTGCTTACTCTTTTCAGATTAATATTTAAAATATGGATTCTACTGATGACTCTTTCGTTTTCATACAGATCCAGTCTCTTAGAGTTGCATTTAATCGTTCGCAACCACTGCTGGCGCGATGATCTTATCAAAATAGTTTTTCTTTCCTTTTTGCACATACTGCAAAGAAAAATAATTAAATTCTTTTATGCAGCACAATTCAACATCCACCCACCTATGCCCACTAGAGTAAAAATTTATCTGTTTTTGTGCACATTTATGCACATTTAATTATTCACACCACACAGTTCATGAAATACTTATGCGCGCAAACATTCTTTCGTGCGCTGGCACATACATTATCTTCAATTTTCATATATACCGTTAATTTACGATTTTTTTTTTTCTTACATCAGCAGAAAACCTTAATGACAGCAATCTCGAGTTAACTCCCTTAACACGTATATACATATACATACGTACATATATGCATTGAAAGTCATCCTGTAATTTACCAAAAAAAGGAAAAAAAAAAAAAAAAAAGAAAGAGAAGAAGGAAAAAAACCGTTCGTGTCATAACACAGAGAGTGAATGTTGAGCATTCTTGATTAATTTCCTGAAAAATGGGAGGATTTCGTTTCTCTTTTATTTTTTTTTTTTTTCATAATATTTTGATAGTGGGAGATGGCTGCATCAGCAACAATATGTAATATATATGTAAGTATTTTACGGCAAATGCCCTGAAATCCATAATTTCTTAAAGTTGAGTTGAGCATAAAAGAGCAAAAAATAGAAGAAAAAAACAAAAACGTCAACATTTTTGTTAGTCAGACAATGCAAAAGCGGCGTAAAGCGCAGCATAAAATGTGTAGACATAAGAAATTGGCTTCGAGCCATATATAGGTCACAAATATTAACAATGTTCAATTTGTTAAGATTTTTGATTTTTTCCTTTTCTTTTTATACATATAAAAAATAAAAAATAAGCAAAAAGAGAAAATTTTGGCGTAAAGTCAATGTCTTTAAGACGTTGCACAAAAAAAAAAAAAAAAGTATGGGGAAAAAACAAGAATGACTTTTCGGCTGGTAATGAATATTGGATCCTCGTCATTGAAAGCAAGCGCTTTTTTTTGTTCATTTATTTATTTTTGCAACAAACAAGTATAGCCAGTCGCTTGCTATACGATATTATGGATTTAATTAGAAATACCACAAAAAAAAAAAGAAAAAAAAACCTAAACGTTCGCCTCAGAAATAACAATATTTACATACATAAGTTGATCATAAAGTGTCTGAACGTAATAGTTGGCTGCTTGGCATCACATTGGAGTGACTCTGGCAAATATCTTGTTTATTAAATTGGAGAAATTATAACTTCGCACATATATGCTCATTACCTTTAATTTTTCACCTCAGTTCTTACATCTTGAACATTGCTGCGCATTGACGCATGCAAGTTGTAAGCGAATTGTCACTGTATTTACTATTGCGGATATCTACTTC